AGGCCAGAAGAGTGCTCTGGTCTCTAGGGAACTACAGTTCTATGTACCTGTAAGCTGCCTACTTTGGGTCAAGGCACTGATCTTAGGTCCTCTGCCTGAGCTCTGCAGTGCTGTTAACCTCTGCGCTCTCTCCCACCCAGAATCTTGGAGTCTTGACTCATCAAATATTTGCTTCTTTTATTTCGGGTTTGTTATGTCTTATCAGCAAACTGCATTTTACCTCGTGGAATTCCAGATTAAAAATGATCTTTTTTTTTTTTTTTTTTTTGACTGTCTTTCTCTCTGGCTGTCCTGGAACTCGGTCTGTAGACCATGCTGGCTTTGAACTAAGAGATCCACTTGTCTCTTTTCCCAACGGTTTGTATTAACGATGTGCACCACCATCACCTGGCCTAAAAACAGTCGTTGTAATATTTTACACATAAAAAGCACTATAGAAAAATAATCTAAAGTTTTGTCAAATTTTAACATATGACACAAAATCTAGACTTTCCTAAGTCGCCCTTTCATAACACCATGGATTTTCAGATTTGATGCTGTTTTGGACTGAGGAACAGTTTGTTGTTTTTGCTTCATTTCTTTTAGTTTGTGACATTGTGACAGAAATTTGTATTAATAAATACAATTGAAATAAAATTTCAAACCTCACACGAATAGCATATGGGCTAAAATGTTTCTAAATTTCCGTGTCTGCTACAGTGTCTTCTAGTTGAGTTTTGCTTTTTATTCTTTTTTGGTAATTTTTAATAAGTGTAAAAATAATGGGTTTCATTATGAAATGTATCTATATATGCATATCATCGTAAAGCACTCAGTATTATTCCTCTACTCACCAAGCCTGTCCTTTCGCCTCCTGTTAGTACTTTCTCCTCCAACACAGCATACCTCAATTTGAATGCCATATAGACACACTTACACTTAAATCTAGACGTGCAGAAAGGAAAATAAGTACAATATTGTCTTTCTTTTTTATGCTTGAGGGGATGATTTTGTTGCAGATATGAGGGAGTATACGTCCAGGGCACCTGGAAGATTCCAAAGCAGGAAGAGAAAAGCAATAAAGCGATCATAGCCAGCAGAAAAGGCCAGCCCATAATGGGGGAGGAAGAGGCAAGGACCAAGAGAGAGACAGACAAGAGAGTGAGGACAAGCAGACCATGACAGCCAAATGGGCACGTGGATGAAATGGCACGGTGATTTGGAATCAGATGCTGGGTGAAGGGCAGTCCATGAGCTGGAGAAGTTTAGGGGAGTGGGATGGGAGAGAATGGCTCAGAGGAGCCAGGATGCCAGCATGGTCTCTGTAACAGTATTACAGAGAAGCTCCAGAGTCCAGTATACTAATAGGTACCACAGTTAGAAACTTGAAGAGGTGGACAAGGTGAGGCTTTTGGGGAAAGGATGGGTTTCCAAGGGGAACAAGGGGTCTTAGCGGAGAAATGCCCATCCGGTGAGTGCCCAGGAGAGTTAGCAGGCTTCAGGAGCCAGAGAGACACAGAGATGTGTGACAGGAGCTCAAGAAGGCATGGGAAACTCCAGGAGTGAAAGATAATAAATGCACATGTACTGAGTAGGCAAGGATTTATAATGACTGCATCTTTTCTGTATGTGCCCAGGAGTGGTATAGCTGGGTCTTTAGGTAGAACTATTCCTAATTATCTGAGAAATGCCAGATAGATTTTAAAGTGGTTGTAGAAGTTGTACACCAGCAATGGAGGACAGTTCCCCTTCCTCTACAACCTCGCCAGCATATGCTGTCACTTGAGTTTTTGATCTTAGACATTCTGACAGGTGTAAGATGGAATCTCATAGACATTTTGATTTGCATTTCACTGAAAATGAAAGACACTGAACATTTCTTTAAGTGTTTCTTGGCCATCAGAGATTCCACAGTTGAGAATTCTCTGTTTAGCTCTGCATCCCATTTTTAATTGGGTTATTTGATTTGTTGGTGTTTAATTTCTTGAGTTCTCTATGTTTTGGATAACAGCCCTCTGCTGGATGTTGAGTTGGTGAATATTTTCCCCATCTGTGGCTGCTGTTTCATTCTACTGACCGTGTCTTTTGCATTGCAGATGCTTTTCAGTTTCCTGAGGTCCAGTTTATTAACTGTTGATCTTAGAGCCTGAGCTATTGGTGTTCTGTTCAGGAAGTTGTCTCTTGGACCAATGAATTCAAGGATATTCCCCTTGTTCTCTTAGATTAGTGTATCTGGTTTTATGTTGCAGTCTTTGATCCACTTGGAGTTGAGTTTTGTGCAGGGTGATAAATATGGATCTATTTGCATTTTTCTACATGTAGACATCCAGTTAGACCAGCACCATTTGTTTACCTGTTTCTGTATCTATCTATCTATCTATCTATCTATCTATCTATCTATCTATCTAT